AAGACTGGAAACCCAAATATAAGGAGTTTGTATATTTTGCCCCCAGTGAGGTAGAGTGTCAGCTACTGAATTAGCTTCCCTTATGTTGAAAATAAAAACTATCCAATTATCATAGTAGAGTTTGAACATCTTCCACCTGCAACAAAATTCTCCACGGAACTGAAGAAGATTAATGGTTAGCTAATAAATCAATTAAAATTTTCTAATCACCTTCATAAGTTTTTTATAACAAAAATAATACTTTTATCGCATTTGTACCACCTTTCTAATAAAGATGAGACTTACATGTGTTAGAGGGCTCTACCTTTATTAGAAATGTGGTACAAATATGATACGAAAAATGTGATAAGTGTAAATTACTCTTTTTATAATTAGTAAATTGTAGCAATAGTCTCTTAACTTTAACTCAATTAGAGCAATGGTCCCTCAACTAAAAATCTATTACCATCGGCCCCTCAACTCATCAAAACGTGCAACTATGGTCCCTTAACTAAAAGTTCATTACCATTGGTCCCTCAACTTTAATCCAACTACAGAAATGGTCCCTCAACTTTAACCTAATTACTACGGTCATTCTAACATAACTCATTTTGATAAAATTCCGACGAAATTGACGAAAATACCATAGCTACACGTTTTGATGAGTTGAGGGACCCCAATTGTAGCAATGGTCCTTCCAACATAACTTATTTTGACAAAATTTTAACGAAGTTGACGAAAATGACCTATAGTTACACATTTTGATAAGTCGAGAGACCAATGGTAATGAATTTTTAGTTGAGCGATCATTACTCCAATTTAATTAAAGTTGAGGAATCATTAGTACAATTCACTATTTTATAATTATGTTGTATAACCTATTGTAAACCTTGCTTTAGACCATGGATCTCAGCTTGTTGTACTGAGGCAAAACCAATAGGAAAAGCTCCTGCTAACAAAACAATCCTCATATGATTACGTAAAACAAAACCAACAACCGCTTGACCGTTATTAACTATAGAATCATAATTTAATTTTACATGACCGGAAAAAGGTGGATTCCATTAATTTTTTTGTACTCAACTTTTAAAAGTAGTTTTGTTACGTATATTGTTATTAGCATTTAAAAAAAAATTAAAAATAACTTGTTATTTATAACAAGAAAAGATACATCAATATTTTTATTTTGAAAAAAAAAAAAATTATTCCTAGCATCTCCCAAATATTCCAGCAAACTGTGAAAAATTTTCAATTCATAATTTAGGAAGTTTAGACCAATAATTACAAACACAATCAATCATTTGAATGAAGGATCCGGATTAAAATTCCAAATTTTTTGTAATTGGTTCCAAATTTGTTTAGTTATCCTACAATCGTAAAACAGAGTATATGTAAGTTTCTGGTTCTTGACCACACAAAGTAGAAAGAAGAGTAATGGACATATGCTTGGCTAATCGTCTCACCTAAATTTCATGTGCTAACATTCTAGAGATGTTCTTACACCCTAAAATCTGTTTCTAGTTCTCTTTTCTAATACTCGTGGGTTTCTTTAATTGTAAAGAAAGCAAGATGCTTGTTGTGAGAACCCAGCCCGAATTATAATATATTTTGTCCTCAATAGGGTGGAAATGACTTTTATGCCCTTGAACGTTGAGTGTGTTGTGTGAATGAGCTTAGGATTTGGACCAATTCATTTTTCTTCCTAAGTAGTTAGACCTAATTAGAACTTAAAATTTTTTTGTTTATTTTGTTTGGTTGGCCAACCTGGACCACACACATACACCCGTTGACCCCTCTTTCTCCCTCTCGAATTTTCTTCCATTTTTCGTACAACTTGTACAGTCACTCTCTTAAACCCCGTCATCATTCACAGATCAAGGTTGTGGATCTTATCTCCGTGCTTCTTTCAAGCTCAGGAGTCAAACTATAGCTTTGGTTGGACTGTGAAGACTTTGGAAACTCGAGAACTAGGGAGCTTCGACGAGGTGCACTGTTACTCCGTCGTGATCGCTGATGTTTTGTTGAGTTTTGGTGTCCTAGGGAGTCTTAAAACTTCTTTGCGAAGGTCATAGAAGAATTTTGGAAGGTTTTAGACGTCAGGACACTCGAGTTCGTCGAGTTGCAGGGGTGGCAGAACTATCGAGATTTTTCCGGCCAAATTCCGTTCTTTTTGTCCTGAGCTTCACATTGGTACCAATTTTATGAATTTTGGTTGAGAATTGAGTAAGTTATTGAAGTTTGAAGTTTTTCCAGAAACCGACGAATGCAGCGGCGGCTGACGTTGGAATCCGGCGAACCATCGGAGACGAAGGAGAATATTTCGTCAACTTTGATGGAATATGCTGCTATTTAATGGAATATTCCCTAACGCTGTTAGGGATTCCGTCCAACATGCAAGGCATATGCCTGCGCGTGGCTGCGCATGTGGCCATGCCTTGGTTGGCATGTTAGGGCATATGGGGATGTTTGTGGGGTTGAGTAGGCCACGATGGTATATTCAAATGACCCAATTGAGCAACGTATGAGAAGTCATTACCTAGTTTTGTATATGTGCTTAAAAATAACGTTAAAATAGTTGTTTTGCATATAGATGAGACTTTTCCAGAGAACAAGCGCAGTCAAGGGAGACTTGGGGGCTACAACCCTTCCACATATCAGTGAGTGGGTTTTTGGTTTTCAATATATATATATGCTTGGTATTTTCCTAGAAAACATGTTTAAATGGACTTGTGTTTTAAAACGCCATGCCAAATGTTTTATATTTAGAATATGCATTTAGTAGTTTCACATATTTATGTTTAACGCTGCAGACGCTCAGGTAAGTTCCAGGTGAGTTTATAGATTATGGATATGAGTTGCATGATTATGTTGAGATGTATCTATAGCTCATAACCTGCACCTCGGTGTTAGTGCTCCCGCTCGTGGTCAGGGCACAGTCCTTCACATGATGTTCACCTCCCACACCATACACTCACCTTGGATCCAAGTTAGGTGCACAGTCCTGTCGTATATACCATTATAAGTGGTTCTGACTCATAGGTGACCAGCAATCATTCGCACAGTCTTCACGTGATCATAGCACTTGAGCGTATTTATTTACACCTAGTTCTATTGTACATACCACTTTAGGTGGTTCCGACTCATGTGTAGGCATACTTGTTGAGCTATTGGTTGAGCCGTACAGATCACATTAGGTGACTCCGACTAGATGGATGAGCTATAGATTCAGCCATACAGGTTATGTTAGGTGACTCCGGCTTATATGTTACTTGTCATTGACTTACTTCACCTAGGTTACCTAATTCGTTATACTAATATTTTTGGCATGGTATACCTGTGGGTGTTGCTATTTTGGGCATGGTTGTGATATAGATATGTATTATAATTTCTGGGAAATTATACAGGTTTTACGGCGAGGGGTTACTACCTTTGATAGTTGAAATGGTTTTGAAAAGCTTTGTTTTTGCCCACTCACATTTTCTATTTTACGCCCCTCCAAGTTTTAGGTAGGAGTGCTTGCTAGTGGCTTACGAAGAATTGACGGCGGTTCTAACAGATTATCACTAATGTAGGATCACCTCTAGTATTGTATAATTAGTACTTGTCCTACTAGATTGCACTTAGGCTACCTATGCTCTGATTAAGGTGTATCACACTCAAATATCGAGATTTGCACTTATATTTGCTTGGTGTAAATTAGTTAGCTTGGTTCTTAATTACTCGCATTTTTTTATCAATATCATTTCCACACTGCACACATGGCTACGTCACCCTCACTTGACGGCCAGCACGCCTTAATTTTGGTCGGGGTAGTGTCACTTGTAATAGTTAAAATTTTTTTTTTTCATGCACTTGAGGTTCTGTTTTCGTTTTCCTCTCCCCAATTTTGCTTCTGAAAAAACATAAAAAAATAATTGGGTAAATCTCAATTTACTACTCTAAAGTTTAGTGGTTTTCAACATTTAGTACATGAAATTTTTTTCATCCTAGAGTCATACCTAAAGTGTTAATTTTTGGAACAGTCTCATACATCCGTCAGTCTGGCTGTTAAGACTCCCGTTAACTGATGATGTGGCGCCCATGTGGACAATGACTAGGCGCCACATGTCATTAAGGAGGCACACATGGAAATTTAAAAAAAAATTAATTAACAAAAAAAAAAAAAAGACATTTCTTCTCTTCCTAACCCTCTTCCACTCCTCCTCACATCCACCCTTTCTTCTTGTTCTTTGGATTCCCTCACCTGCATTTTCACAAGCACTTCCTCTAATTTAGTAAATCTGCCACTCACATCCACCCTTTCTTCTGTTTTTGCAACAATGGTTGCAAAGCCTTGGATTTTGAAGATGGGTAACCAGGTAAGCTCCAATCTCAAGCACGCTCTTCTTTGCTCTTCAACCTTCGAAGAAATCATCATTTTCCAAATCGCATCCCGCTGCCAAAATCCAGAAGCAGACCGTCGACATTCTCTACTTCGAGGTCACTAGTGTCATGTCCAAGACCGTCCACCTCCACGAGTCCCTCACCGACTTCGAGATCTTGAAGTTTAGGAAGAAGATTGCAGGAAATGGAGCGGTAGTTCAACCTTTTTTATCCTCTCAAGATCTCACTTGGAATTGGGGGGGTTAGGGATTTGAGGTTTTGACTTCTGGCGGACTTGACGGTGGTGGGGGAAATCAAGTTGTTGGGTGTGATCTTTATGTTTGTGAAAATGCTGGTGAGGGAATTCAAAGAACAAGGGAAAAGAAATAATTGCAAAAGAGAGAAAAAGGGACGGGGGAGAAAGGAAGCAATTATCCCCACCTTTTTCTATTTTTTTTTTTTAAGTTTTTAAATTTTTAATTTTGAAATTTTGGTTTTTTTTTAATTTTTAATCTCCACGTGGACCCCGTAATGACATGTGGCGTCCAGTCATTGTCCACATGGGCGCCACGTCATCAGTTAACAGAAGATTTAATAGCCAGATTAACAGATATATGAGATTGTCCCAAAATTAACACTTTAGGTATGACTCTGAGACGAAAAAAACTTCATATATTAAATATTGAAAACTACGAAACTTGAATAGTAAACTGAGATTTGCCCAAAATAATTATAAAAAAGCTATATAAGAGATGATAATATCATGTCATCATGTTTCTTGAAGCCCTTGTTCTTGTTCACTTCTAAACTCTAACTCTTGAATCAAAATACTATTTCCCGAATTAATAATCATGATTGAAACAATGAACTACAAATTTGTACCAAAAATGAACAAGATACGGTCTTGGCACACTGGGGTTGTATCATTGGTATGCACTATGCACTCACTGGGTATTTCACTTCAGATTAGTCTACCAAATGTGGGTCCCAAAGCATCATGGAACCCCAACTCATGCATGTGGGACACGTGCAGCCAGCCATAAGCACCATGAAAAGGTTTCGGGGGTGCCTTGGTATAAGCCCATGTGAAAACACGTAGGCATCCATACCTTCTTCCCATGGGGTTCTTCTTCCATTCTGCAGAAGAGAAGGGTTAGCAGCAGATCCACAGATCAATTAACCCACCCAATATTCTCTTAATCCACCCAGAAAATAAATTCTTCTTTTTTTTTTCTCTCTCTCTCTCTCCAATAACGGGGTGGAGGGACTTCCCAAGGAAGCTGCTGTTTCACATGGCCTTCCTATCTATTCTAATTACCGAATACCTAATATTGTGAATTAATTATAAAAAGTGCCACTACTATATGATATTTTGTCTATTTTAAATGAACTGCCTTGCATGTGTGCATGTGAAAATTTGCAGTATAATAACAAAGAAGGAGGGAGAAGGAGAAGGAGAAAAGGGAAGAAAAAAAATAATTAATCTGAGAGAAATGGAAGTTGGTGGGGTTCAGACCACCATTGATAATGTGCTATCACTTTCTTCCATTTCCTCCCGTTTGCTTCTCCCTTTTTCTACTCCTTTTCCTTTATAATTCACTTGGGAACTCCCTTTTGAGTTATCATGTTACTTTGGTTTAATGTGTAAATTTAGTCCTACGAAAAGGAAAAAACTAAAACCGAAAGAACTAACTTGCAGATAAGCACAAATTGAATTATAAATAAAACTTAGGGGAACTAAGCCTACATTAAGCCTTACACAAATCACAGTTTAGAGTAGGCCTAACAACTTCTTGCACAATCCGTTAACCTAATATGAAACGAAACAAAAATGACAAATTTCAAGTCAACCGTTAACGATTCGGGTCATTGTCGGATCACCCATGTTAACGAATCACGTCGTTATCGGATCACCGGTTAAGAACATGACCTATTTTGAAGGTCTAGACATTAGACATGACAATTTCTTGTATGACCCATCAACCCGATACAACCCGTTAACGAGTCAGGTCGTTATTAGGTCACCTGTTGAGAACCCTTTAAGATAACAGATTTGATACAACAGAATCTTGTAAAATAATAGGTAAAACATAAAACGGACAAGAATACAATAAACACAATCGGTTTGCCAGTTTAGAGCCCCTTATTATACGTTGAGTCTCCATCCAAATGCATTTTTAAAACTGATGGGAATAGTTCTCTAGTTATCATTTAATATTAGCAGTAATGGTTAATATCAATTTGTATTAATTGTTTGTTCACCTTGTAACATGGCATGATTCCCTCGTATCAATCATGAGGAATATATGACATGTTCATTTGAGTTATTGACTCTAATTTAACCATATAAATTAACTACATAATGCGTATGAACTGGCTATGATTCTATATTATTTCAACTGTCAGACAAAAAATGCATAACGAAGGTTCATAATTCTTGTAAACTTCTTATTTCTCATCATTTTCTTATGCTGCATAAAAAAAATGTTCATTAAAGTTAGAAATTAGTTTACTAGTAGTGAGCAGCGACCAAGATGATTAGGGTTTGATGTTGGCAAATACACACGCTTTGATATTTTATTCTTTTTCTTTTGATTATACAATGATGGATCCACTTTGGGCATCATTTTCTGAATATTTGTCATACTTAGAAGTTACTCTTTACAAGCTGAAGAAGGAAAGGAAACCCTAAGATCGATGAAACCCAAATCATTCGAGCATATGTAGCTTTGGGTTCCACATCCTTTGTGTATGCCTTAAGATAAAGTGGCTTTTAATCTGTTCCAAACTTCCATGTACTAGGTATAACTGTTTTAATTGCTTTTGACATAAACGTGTGGAACATATATTTTTGTAAATATACATTCATAAAGAACAATGTTAAGGTCAGTCGTAACGTGTTTGCATGAGTAACTTTCAACCGTCAATCTGTTATAGGTCATACAACTGCATCAACGGTTGAGAGTCGTCCACGCATAATGTGATGAAAGTTGATTTTTTTTAAAAAAATTATTAAATGCACTATTAAGTTGAGCGTCCATAGGCATGCCAATGATTTTCACCGGTTAATACTTTTGAGTTTCACAATGCAACGCATCAATAAATGAAGGTCATCGACTTGCACGTACGTGAACGCCTATCGCTAGCAGGATCCATTCATGATTAAACTGATTGAAAGGAAAGGCCGCACGAATCAAGCTCAATTGGGTAATTTCCATTATCACATTGGGATCAAGACTTCCCATAAATCCCAAGATCAGTTTTGAATATATGATACTAGAGATAAACAGTCCTATCCTACTGTTTAGTCTCATTACTTTTATTAAGAAGTAATTACTTAAATCAGACAAAGAATTAAGAGAAAAGGTAACATTTTATTATGTTTTTATGATTATCTACTCAACTCACTCAAGTTGACTAAATATGATATAACAGATAATAAGAGAAGAACACTCGCAGAGGAGAAATTTTTTCAGTGTGCCAAGAACATAGTTTGTATTAGAATATATATTTAGTGTACTAAGTCATGTTTCTGATACACTGAATATCGATCGAGAAAGAGAGCATGGTATTCACCACATTCTCTGTCCCATGTTTGGTGTCGGAGAAACTTCCAATAAGTCCAAACCCTTCCCCGTCATTACTCGCGGTTAACAGCCTGTTGCAGTCCCCAAGATCTCACGAGCCCTCATCTTCTCACAAACTAATCCACCCCAATTATTCACTATTATTTATTTGTTGTATACCATCACATATGCATTAACCAATCTTCTTCTTTCCACTACTCCTCATACAACAACAGTTAGTTACACTCTCTCGCCTTCTCTCTCTATCAGTTTCAGAGACTGAAAATGGTGGAAAACCAGAGCGCATAGCATGGTTACGAGCGTTTACCCTTGCACCCGACCTCCTGTGTTCGAATTCCACCCTCCCTCGTGTCAAAGAAAGACAAAACCCAATAAGGAGATTTAGTCACAAGATGCAGTTGAGCAAAACCCAAATGCTGATCTTCTTCTTTTTGTGCTGTTCTTCATTTGGATTTGCAGCTGTGGCCAATGATGAAGTTTCCGCTCTGCTTTCGATAAAAGCCGGTCTCATTGATCCACTAAACAGCTCAAAGACTGGAACTTTCCAGAAAATGAAGCTCACTGCAACTGGACAGGCGTATGGTGCAACACTGAGGGGCACGTAGAGAAGCTTGATCTCTCCCACATGAACCTCAGCGGCCCGATATCCGGCAACATCCAACGTCTCAAAAGCCTCACTTCCCTCAACCTCTGCTGCAGTGGCTTCTCCTCATCACTGCCAAAATCCATCTCAAATCTCACAGCATTGACAACTTTTGATGTGAGTCAAAACTCACTTGTTGGTGAGTTTCCATGGGGGTTTGGAAGAGCAGGAGGGTTGACGGAACTCAACGCTTCGAGTAACAATTTTTCGGGTTTTCTTCCCGAGGATCTCGGCAATGCCACAATGCTGGAGACTCTGGATCTCCGAGGGAACTTTTTCGGGGGCTCGTTTCCAAAGGCATTCAAGAACTTGCAGAAGCTCAAGTTTCTTGGGCTTTCCGGGAACAATTTCACCGGGGAAATCCCCGCTGAGCTTGGAGAGCTGTCCTCATTGGAAAGTATGATTCTTGGGTACAATGAGTTTGAAGGTGGCATTCCAATGGTGTTTGGGAATCTTACCAACCTCAAGTATCTTGATTTGGCAGTTGGGAATCTTAGTGGTGAGATTCCAGCTGACTTGGGGAGGCTTAAGGTGCTGGAGACAGTGTTCTTGTACAAGAACAATTTTGAAGGCAAAATCCCAGCTGAAATCGGCGCCATTTCTACAGTTGAAATTGCTTGATCTTTCCGATAATGTATTATCGGGGGAAATCCCAGCTGAAATTGAGGAGCTGAAGAATTTGCAGCTTCTGAATGTGATGTGTAATCAGTTATCAGGTTCGGTTCCATTAGGAATTGGAAGTTTGAGCCAGTTAAGTGTTCTTGAGCTATGGAACAATTCGTTTTCAGGTCCTTTGCCCAGTGATCTTGGCAAAAATGCCCCATTGCAGTGGTTGGACGTTTCATCCAACGCGTTTTCCGGCGAGATTCCATCCACATTATGCAACAAGGGCAATCTCACCAAGCTCATCCTCTTCAACAATGCCTTCGCAGGTCCAATTCCGGCGAGCCTATCCACATGTCTTTCGCTTGTTCGTGTTCGAATGCAGAACAATTTTCTCTCCGGGACAATCCCAGTTGGGCTTGGCAAGCTTGAGAGGCTTCAAAGGTTAGAATTGGCAAACAACAATCTCACTGGTGCAATCCCAGAAGATCTTTCTTCTTCTACTTCACTCTCTTTCATTGATATCTCTCAAAACCGCCTCCATTCTTCTCTTCCTTCCACCATTCTCTCTGCTCCAAGCTTGCAAACCCTGATGGCCTCGAATAATGAATTGGTCGGCGTAATCCCGGATCAATTCCAGGACTGCCCTTCACTTTCAGTGCTTGATCTCTCATCAAACCATTTCTCAGGAACCATCCCAGCAAGTATTGCTTCATGTGAGAAATTGGTAAGCTTAAATCTGAGGAACAACCAATTGACCGGAGACATCCCGAAATCTATTGCCATGATGCCCACATTGTCCATTCTTGATCTGTCCAACAACTCTCTCACTGGTGGAATACCAGGAAATTTCGGAATGTCACCGGCCTTGGAGACTCTCAATGTCTCATTCAACAAGCTAGAGGGTCCTGTCCCAAAAAACGGTGTACTGAGAACAATCAACCCGAGTGATCTTGTGGGCAATGCCGGTCTCTGTGGTAGTGTCCTCCCTCCGTGTACGCGAAATCCAGCATTGGCATCGAGGCATAGGAATGTGCACACAAGGAACATTGTTGCAGGATGGGTGATTGGGATCTCATCAGTTTTAGCAGTTGGACTCGCACTTTTCAGTGCTCGAACTCTATACAAAATGTGGTACTCAAATGGGAGTTGCTTTGGAGACAGTTTCGAAGTTGGCAAGGGAGAGTGGCCATGGAGACTGATGGCATTCCAGAGGCTTGGTTTCACAAGTACTGACATTCTGGCTTGTGTGAAGGAATCAAATGTGATCGGAATGGGAGCTACTGGGTTGTGTACAAGGCAGAGATATCAAGATCAAACACAGTTGTGGCAGTTAAAAAGCTGTGGAGACCGGCAACAGACATTGAAACTGGAAGCAGTGATGATCTCGTTGGGGAAGTGAATCTCTTGGGGAGGCTAAGGCATCGAAACATTGTTCGGTTATTAGGATTTCTGAACAATGATACGAATTTGAGGATTATATACGACTTTATGCCCAATGGAAGCTTAGGAGAAACCTTGCATGGCAAGCAAGCAGGGAGGTTGCTTGTAGATTGGGTTTCAAGGTACAACATAGCAGTTGGGGTTGCACAAGGTCTTTCTTATCTCCACCATGACTGTCACCCACCAGTCATCCATAGAGACATCAAGTCTAATAACATCCTGCTCGATGCAAACCTCGACGCGAGGATTGCAGACTTCGGGTTGGCACGGATGATGGTTCGAAAAAACGAGACAGTTTCCATGGTGGCTGGATCATACGGTTACATTGCCCCTGGTGAGTTTCTACTTTCTAGTTTCACTTCTCAATCTTTACATGTTTCTGTAATTTTCTTGCCACTGACAATTCTGGGACTTTGTGATTCTTCCATCAGAATATGGATACACATTGAAGGTTGATGAAAAGATAGACATCTACAGCTACGGCGTGGTTCTATTGGAGCTTCTAACAGGAAAGAGGCCATTAGACCCCGAGTTTGGCGAATCAGTAGACGTCGTGGAATGGATTCGGAGGAAGATTAGGGACAACAGAAGTTTAGACGAAGCATTAGACCCCAGTGTAGGAAACTGCAAGCATGTTCACGAAGAGATGCTCTTAGTCCTTAGAATAGCATTGATTTGCACTGCCAAGCTTCCCAAGGACAGGCCTTCCATGAGGGATGTCATAACGATGCTCGGAGAGGCTAAGCCTCGGCGAAAAAGCAGCAGCAACAACGATCCATATGCTGCAGCTAAAAAAGACCAGCCTGTGTTTAGCACCTCACCTGTAAATGGCCTTCTCTAGGGACAGAATTTTGAGTTCCCTTCTGGCTGTTATTATTTTGATTTTTCAATTTTTCCATTTTTCATGTTGTATGTAAGATTAAGATTTATTTTTTCTGTTAATGTTTGTAATCAATGGTTCATATTGGCGTAAGAAGCATGTATCCAAGTATAAAATAACCCGAGAGCATAGATTTTTTACTCAACTCAACAAATCGCAATTTGACATGTGGTTTGCTTTGTGATTTTAATGAGATATATTTCCATAAATGTCAAAGTGTAATTTGTAGATGCAGATAAAAAGAAATATCTTCTTACGTGCAAGGAGCGAAGCAGTGTCCATTTTCGAGGGTTCAACTTCTTGATATGGTAATGAAATTTCAACAAGTCCTGCAATAACATTGATAATTTGATTACCAAACAATTTCTCTCCATTAAACAAGGGGGAACTGAAGATTGCCCATCTGCTGAACAGACAAAAGCACTTGAGTGTGCCCCCATATATACAACTTTAACAACATTCACCAAAGTAAGCATACGTATATATATAGCAGTATTACATTGAAAACTAAGATTGCTCTCGGAGAAGGCGTAACAAAAATAAAACGAAATGGCATTCGACAGCACCAAAAATGAACCGAAAAACCTACGGTTTCTCCCTCTTCTTTCCAAAATGCTCCAACTATAAGTTTTGTCCACTTTGTACACACTTTCAAACGCAGGTTGTCTCTTCTTGCTTATCTTATGAGAAAAGGATCTAGGTTGGCTTACATCTTTGCCTCACATTCTTTTCCTGTAACAGGGGAGCTGCAAATCAAAATTAACGGAGTTAGCATCGGGTGAAACTGCAGGTTTCGGAGGAAAATTTGATTTTCCATGCAGTCTACATACCAAGTCCATTAGCCTCAGATGTCCTCATAATCCTTAACCTCTTGACAGTACCAAGAAACATCCTGAATGAAAAATAAGTACACCCTGATAAGCTGTAAGCAAAACCAAAGACTCAAAAATCATATACTTCCGCTTGGTATGGCTTTTATAATTTTAGATACCGGATTCCACTCACACCCAACTATCTATATAAGAACTAGCAGAACACGTCAATAAATACTTAATTCAATCGTAGTATTACGCAGGCACCATATGCTTCATCGTTTATTGAAAAAAACTTACTCCCAAGGAACATCTCCCACAAGCATCCAGTCTCCATCTTTATCTTCATAAGTGAGCGCAAACTCAAATGATCCATCCAGCAACTTTGAGGGTCTTGTTGCTTCTTCCATCTCCTGACCACCTGAACCTAATTAATAGATATAATACCACCAACAGTCAAAAGGTAAACATTTCCATCCCTAATCGGCTAAGGTAAATAAATTTGATCTTGTCCAAATGAAAACCATGATTTCAAGTGATGGACTTTATACATTCAGAATACCAATAACTTTTAACTTTCATAACTGGAAAACTTTCGGCAAAATAAACTAAAATTTGAAATTTTTCTTGATTCAATTTGACATTCCAAGAAAGCTTGGGAAGATAATTCGAGTTCCACAGACCCTTGTGCACAACTTAAATTCGAGTTGCCTGGATCTGGGAACAATAAATGACTAACCATGTGTCGAGGGCCCAAACATATCCTCCAATTTTTGTGCTAGCGCTTCATAGGAACTATGCGCACTGAGATTAACCTTTCGCCCGATAGGAATCCCGTCCATATTCACCTTCACAAACAGGGAACCCCTCTGCTGCCCTATCTCCTTAGCATTTCCATTGGACTTGTGACCTCCATTGTTAACCTTCCCCGCACCAGTCTTGCACTCACTTTTCTCATTTACTGAGTTAAGTCCTTCAGTCGATGAAGATTTCGCTTGGAGAACCAAACTATTCAATCTATAAGCTCTGATAGGAGGCCATCCAACAACCTGACTGCTTTCAACCAACAAAAGATACAATCCCATAAGAGAAGAAAGCAAAACCGAAAACCTTATAAAAAGCGGGCAAGATTACAATATCTCCATACAAACAACTCAACAACCGGCCACTATAGAAGTCCTACTACCTCCAACAACAAAAAATCCGCTTTAACGTTTCAGGGTGACTACAAAATCGCAAGTTTAAATGTTTGTACACTATGGATTTAATCTAGAGCTATAGTTGTGTGTAAACCAATGCTTCCTGCAAGGATATTTGTGAATTGATATAAACAAGCAGAACACTGCCAAATACAAATACAGGTTCTTAAATCCAACAACAACAGATGACAAAATCAAATCAATGGCAGAAAATAAGATTGCAACAGAACATCATGGTACAGAAAGCTTGGAAAATCTAAAATAGTAACAATAATTTGTGATGTGCAATAAGAGAACCCAACCAATTTCTAAATCAATGGAACTCATAAATAAAAATCCAAAAAAAAAAAAAAAAAAAAAACAAACCTATTTCGATTGTCTTACCTGGCGCCATTAGCAGCAGCCACAGAATCAGCACTTCTCTTGGTTCCAGCAGCAACATTACCGCTGCTCAACGAAGAAGTAGAAGACGACGACTCGGAAGCCGACGAAGAAGAGAACCCCACAGAAGGAAAATCCTTAGCAGTCAAGATCCTCGCAAAGTGACCCCTTTGCCCCTGCTGGTCCTTCCCTCCACCACCACCAAGGCTCAGCCCAAGACAGAGCTCGAGCCCAGAATCCTCAGGGGTAGAAGAGTCCTCAGAAGACACGGCAAAATTCTCCTCCCTGGACAGCGTTGACTTAGTCAACGACCCACTTGCAGAACCTCCACTCTCCATTGAAACAAAAAAAGCTTCCTCCTTTCCACCTCAAATCCAACCAGAAAGCTCACAGGAACAGAACCCAGGTGTTAAAATTTATAAAATTTTCTGGTGGGTTGCTTGCATAGAATAGGGGGGACAAGCGCTTAATTTGGGGATAAACTGAAATTAGGGCAAATTGATTGAGATAGAAATTGGAAATTTGAGTAAGTGGGTTTTGCTTGGGGCAGTGGTCCGTTGCACAGTTTACACAAAAACGAAGGGCTTGTCGGGCGGTTGTGCGCAATTTCGTAGAGCAAAGAAGAATCCTTTATGCTTTTTTGGGTCGGTTTTGGGAGAAGGAGAGATGGGCGGGGCAAGCGTTAGGTTTCTGGGGTCTGCTTTTCGGGTAGTTTAGGTGGTGGGTGGTGATAGAACGAAGGAAAGAGATGGGGTCCACTCATAACTCCATTGTGGGCAGGGGACCCATTTCTGTCTGCTGTCTGCTTAATGCGCCTCCATCAATATCTTTGCTTGCTTCTAGACTATCTCAATTTCCCCTTTTCGTTTCATGAGTCTTGAGCAGAGATATTCCGGAATAATTGTTACTTGGATGGACATAAAAACTGTCAAATCGAAAACTAAATCAAACCGTAATACAAAAAAATATTTAAAATGCTTTGGCTAAAAAAGTTTAAAATGGGGACAAAAATTGAACCTAACCGTCTCAAAACCAGTTTCGATTTTGGTTTGAAAAATACCAAGAATCAAAAAAATCGAATCAAATAAAAAAGAACAGATCAAATCAAATTAAACAGTACAATTTAGTAATAATTTCAAATGAACAGTACTGAAACAAACAATTTATATTTTTTTAGTTCTATCCTAATTGAAGATGAAACTGAACCGAACCAGACGAGACCCATCCCTAATTTTTATGTCTGTTATAAAAACTAGGAGATAATTTAACGAGCTGAGAAAATGAAATTCTCGTGCTTGTCAAGTAGGAAGGGCAACAAGAAATGGAGCCCACAACGCATACGCTCCAAACGACAAGCCGACAAGCTAGGTCCACCGATCACAGGTCTGAGCACGTTGGAGTTAGGACCGCGTGGGGCCCACCCTTCCTGTGGACATATCTCGTGACACGTGTGGACCGACGGAACATAGGAGTTAATGTGGACAGATCAACGGACAATCGGAGAGACAGGATTGGCCAATACTTGCGGTCCGGATTTTGTGAAACGTTGACAAGTCGCAGGCTGTCACGTGGACTCCTCTGCAGTTTATGGTTGACACGGCGTCGTGCAGGCGGGGGACAGACCGTCAACGGAGGGGAAATATCGTATGCATACATCATCATTTATTTCCCGTGCTCCCCCGGCAGCCATTCACTGTCAGATGGTGACAATTAAAATGATGGGCAAATTTTGCCAACCAAAATTAAATAATGGAAAATGATGAGAAGAGGGTAAATGTGGGCGTGTTTAATTTGATCCACATCTCCACCAATCAAATGCATTAACTTAAAGATGGGTTTAAGAATGATTAGAGATAATGATATGTAATAATAATGTGGACGTTGAGCAAATATGTTCTTAATTTTTTTTAACTAAGTTTTGTTTACGAAATGATGTGTCAGTTCCACCAGCGGAGCCACATTAAGAGCTACCCTAGGCTGTAGCCTAAGTAGAAAATAAAATTTCTAGCTCTGCAATTGATCAATTTGTCATTTATTTGAATCTAAACACAATGTATACAACAGGAGCAAGAATGTTAACTCATTTTTTTTACTGGCTTTCACTTGATTCCGGTTTGAATCCTACATTAGAAAGGTCATTAAAACTTCATAAGAAAACTTCATTAATTGATCACTTTCATAAAAATATATAAAAGAAAGTATAGTGCATTTGAAAACAAACCTATCAACTTCTGGTAGGTTTAGATTTTTATTGTACCAAGAAGCTGAAGGTTACCAATTTTATTTTTGGATTTCCATGTCGACATACAGTACAAATCCAGACACACCGCTTTTGACTTGAGGTTTTGTCTTTCCATGAACGGACCACCCATCATTAATTTGTAATTCACTTAACGTTAATATTTAGGTTATTTGAACCTTCTGGTCCTTGCATTTTCTACAAAATGAAAATAAATGTTTAATACAAGATTTAGTGTCTGTTTGAAAGTATTTTTAAAATGATTGAAGCATTTTTAGCGAAAATATTCTTTAAACCAATCTTTGGTAATAATGCAAGTAAATCTTAAAAAAAAACACTTAAATTGTTTCATGAAATAAGCACATATGATTAGTGCTTCTTGAAGAAAGCACTTCAAGTATTTTGTTACTCATAAATATTTTCTCTAAAAAGTGATTTCGGTTATTTTAAAAGCACTCATAAATAAGTTTTAACTATTGCAAAATTTCATTAGATTCATATCCACAAGATTTAACTATTGAATTTCCGAACAAAAGAAACTTCAATTTTAATTCCACCATATCTCTATTAGTTAATGAAACCCTCTTTGCCAACCAAAAGAGAGTAAAAAGACAACTTAGTCTTCAATCACACAAAAAAAAAAAAATGATGGGCAATAATGTAATTTCACAGGTTCAAATTTTACTGTTTTTTTATTGAAGCCTCACCTACAGATGATGTTAAAATATCTCTAATATTTAAAATTAAAATAAATTAAAATAAAAATAAAACCAAAAACAAAAACCTCTCTCTCTCTTCTCTAAAAAAATGTGTTCATACACACACATTTTCCAAAAAAAATATGTTCATATAAGTCAATGCTAGTTACTTATTAAAGAAAGGAGAGAAAAAAATCTAAAAGGAAATGTTTATGGGCTATACAAGGAAATACAGCCCAACTCTTCTCTACCGCTCTACTTTCTAAAACCCGGCCCAAGATTAAAAACCGAAAGCCTTCCCACCGGTCACCCAAAAAACTGAAACACAAAAACCGGACAAAATACTCAGGTGAGAAGTCTCCCTGCTATTACAATTCGGTACCAAGTTTTGTATGAAATGGATGATTTAAAAGTGCACACACTCTTGCCTACTGATGTGTTTATTACTTCAGTTCTTCGGACTCGCCGATACTTGAGCGGGACAACCGGTGCATGCCGTGCAAGCAGGACCGGGGGCACTGTCGGAAATACCAATTCGCACTGTTCGCTGCTTCTCTTCATTTCCAGGAATATGGACGAGGGCATCCATGATTAGGATGTCCCAATCGCGAGCGATGAGATACGAAAGCCAGGTGTCATCTGCAAACGAGAAATCTGATCATTAATATACTAAAAGAGTTGTCAAAACCCAAGCGATATATGTAAAATGTAGTTTAATGCATCAAACAGAAAAGTCTAGCTAGTTTTTGAACATTCTTCGCAAAACTTTTGAAGCATAAATCGGATAGCCTGGTTGTTTCAGTCAAACCAATTCAGAAAAGATCTACACTGACAACGAGTTTAAGTGAATATCAGCAAAGGATGTTGGTCAATTATACAGCGTTGGATACAAAATCATGTACCATTATTATGGTTTTACATGTATAATCCAGTAGCACACGAGCAAAATATGAAAGTGTGTTTAGAACCCAAACACCAAAATAAGCAGGTGTAAGAGTACATGAGCACATGCACACGATGTATGTCTTTATGTGTATGTGCATGTGTGTTTGCACATATATGTCTGGTTTTTTATTTAAATCAATACAAACCTCCATTACGTACAGCCTTCACCTCCAAGACTCCAGCACCTTGCGGTCCAGACACAGGAAATGTGCAAGATACAGAATGCCGCTTATGAGCTACTGCAAGCGATGCATTGTACCATGGGCCCTTCACAATAGGTTCCCCTATAGCCTCTATGATTGCTGGGTTCTTACTGGCTTTCTCCATGGCCTTGCTGCAAAGTTTCAGGAATTGATTACAACATGAAACCTTAAATTAAGTATACATATGTAACATTGAAACAGTTTAAGATTGTTTTTTGAGCTCTGTATGGATCTTTTATCCCTTCAAAGAAGAAAACTCACATTTCTCCCTCTTCTTCCCTCGTTCTTCATTCTTCCTACACACTACTACCAACGAACAACCAGCCATCTATGAGTAAAACCGCCCACATTTCCACCTTTATGTGGGGGCATTATGTCATGATCTATTAAGGCGTTGGGTAATAGAACATACATCAACCAAGCAAGATGCTGATACATAAGAAATTTATTCCACGGGCTGCACTGTTTATGTATAAGATGAAGCAATCTAAGTCGCCTATTAACTAGTTTTTACTCACCCTCCCTCCCTCCCTCCTCTACAATCACGTTTGTAATCTATACGTTTTTAACAAAGCTTTTCAAGAAGAAGTTTCTCATAAGCTATATTACAGATGCTACAAATACAATCTCCAAATTCATTTGAACACGTTGTTGATCAGAATGTCGTTGATCCCAACTATTCGCAAACCAAAAAATGAAAACCGCCTTTTCAAGTTCAAGCATAGATTCTAAATTAGACCAGCAATACTTCCCTATATGAGATCAATCATACCATTTAACACAGAAGAGTTAAAAGTCCCATCTACTTGGAGTTGGAAAGATACCTGCTGCAGCTTTGATAAATCAGAAGATCATTAAGAGCACTCAAAGCAACACCGCCGGTAGTGGTAATCAGAATAAAAGACACCGCTTTTCGACCAAAAGACGACGTGCTCTTCCCTTCATCCACCGTCTTCGCCGCCGAACTGTACAAAACCCATCTTATTAGCCACATCACACTCCATCAAATTCAGCCTAATTACAATAACACAAAATTCATATTATATAATCACAGAAGTAGTAAACTAGAAAATGGGTTTGACAAAAAAAGCATCAAAATTTTGATTTTGGTCAAATATATCAGGTAAATGCTGTAACAGCTGAACTTGGTGAAGCAATTACTCGACTTTTTGGTCGAACAAAGCAAGATATGGAAATGGAATTTGATCAGAAATTGAAGAGAAAGTAAAACAAAAACTGAACCTGGAAAAGTGTGGTGCTGAGGAGCTCCTGTTGAACAACGAAACCATCCTCCTCGCCAGCATTTTCTCTGCTCCGCTCGCTTGTGCTGCTGTGTGTTGGGTTGTACTACTGGCGTGGTGCGGTGGTGCCCTTCGGCCTTCGCTTCAAAGTTTCAAGCACCCACCGACTGGACCGTTTTGTCCCTCTCAAAAGTAGAGAATATGGGCCGGTATTGATATGGGGGTGAGGTCCATTTCGTCAAAAGGCCCGTGATTCATAATTTGCTTGTTTGTTATTAAACCTATTTGTAGGAATTCAAAGAATCAATCAATCGTATCTATTCATTGTATATCGTGCAGTTAAAAATTATTTAAAATTTTTTATTTAAAAATAAATATAAACAC